ATATAATATTCCTTATCCTGAGTTATTTTTTCCTTCTTCTTAAATAAAGCTAGCTATATACAACTTACTTCCAGCCCATATTTAAAAAAGCTCTTTATATGCCTAAGCAAGTCCATATAGTATATAACCAATCTCGTGCTGGGGTTGAGCAGTTAAAAATAATTATATAGCTTAGGCTTAGGCTTAGAAATAATACTAGAAATAATACTACCGATCGATATACCATTAGTACGTGATATTCCTTATTGCGTTATTTTTCTTTCTTTCTTTCTTTCTTCTTGAATGAAGCATACTACCTATTTACAATTGCAACCCCACTTCCAGCCCAACTTCAAGTTCTAAACAACCAGATTACAAAACCAACCTCTTATAAAATAGCAAGCCTGGCTAGCACAGCTCAATCAATAAATCAATCAATCCATCCATCCATCGACGGGACTGAGCTAATTAGTTAACACCTACTTAGGGTTCTATATCCCCCGATCCATCGGAGATAACAATCAGCAGATTGACATAACTCCGTTCGTTTGAGCAAGCAAGCAAGCATCAAGCATCAAGCAACACAAGTTACACAACGCATACAGTCATGTAATATATGCTCAATCAGTAATGGAGTTAACATAAATAACATTAGCAAGACTAGTCGAAGTGAATTAAATGAATTGATTCGTCATGCTAGTGTTGATTGTTAGGGGATGCATATCAGATAGACAGATAGACCCCTAGGGATAAATATAAATAGCTCGATCATCGATCGATACAACATCAAACAATTACGTCTTTTACATGTATATTATATATTATATATCTTTCTTCCCTCCTGATTTCCTCCCACGAACAATAATTTAATCTAATTCAATAATTTTAATTAATTATGCCCCTCCTCAACCACCTCACCTCACCTCACCACCCAACTCCTCACCAAATCAACCCTCCATTCCGGCCACAGCAGACGTTTCCGGGCCAAACGTTTGATCCTAGGAGATCACGGGCTGGCTGTAACACCGGTCTGGGCAAAGAAGCATGCAAGCATTTCGTGCGTCTAAACGCTGCGCGCGTCATTGCCACTGTGCGGAGTATCTATCGAGCGGGGCAAAAAAAAAATAAAGGGCCGCTTTGGCTGAGAGAAATCGAAGAGGTCACGACGAAGCGTGCTGGTGTTGTGCAGCTCTGGGAGCTCGACTACGGCCGGTTCGATAGCGTGTTGGCTGGCGTTTGGTGACAGGTGTCGTAGGGAGTTGCAGAGGCTGGATAAGGTTGTTCTCAATGCGGGTGTTGCGACGGAGAGGTTTGATCGAGCGTCTCGAAGGCCATACTCTAGAGCTCTATCACTGTCAATGTCATCAGCACTGACTGCTCTGCTGGCTTGTCTCCTCTTGCCTGTGCTGAAGCAGAGTGCTCAGCAACAGCACGATATCGATCCCGTCCTGACAGTCGTCTCGTCCGGCGTGCATGCCTACGCTCGGTTCAAAGAGCGCAACGTCAAGACCAGCAGCGACGACAACAACGACAAGCCCATGCGCATTTTCGACGTCCTGGACGATCCCAACCTGTCTGACATGCGCGATCGGTACTGTACCCAGTCAGTCTCCAAGCTCCTGCAGCTGTTTGTTTGCCATACGCGAGATCGCGGAGCGAGCTGCTGCTGCTGCTGCTGCTGGTACTAGTCCGTCCGTCACAATCAACACAGTCGACCCAGGCCTCTACCATACAGACCTGACGAGCCATGCAGAGGGCCGCACCAAACCCGTCATGTCTTGAGATCATGCGTGCTCTCCTAGCCTGGACAGCGAAGGAGGGGGCGCGCATGCGGGTCCATGCCGTGGTGGCGGGCAGAGAGAGCCATGGGGCGTTCATCAATCTGCGGGTGTATGGTGCAGAAGTAAGTTGCTTGAACGAAATCAGATGTTTTTCTTGGAGTTGGCGCCTCTGACGTGCGACATTCGTAGTAATTTGCAGTCCAAGTTCGTGACGAGTCCTGAGGGCGTGCAGACGCAGAAACGAGTCTGGTCTGGGCCGAGTTGGAGGCTATCTATCCTGGAGGATAGATATCAAGCCGGGAGTGACTGCTGTGCTGAAGGAGAATTGCTCTCTTCACTCTTTTTCTTTCTTTTTTCTCTCCACTCTCTTCTCTTCTCTTCTCTTTCTGTATATGCAATCCTTCAGCGTCTTGCTTTCTGTTATATCATGACTCTATTGTAGCAGTCGCAGTCCAATGCACGACTTATTAAACCAATGAATAACAAGACATAGGCTGCGATCATCGACATGACATATCTGTACATAACTCATCCTCAGTAATTAATAATAATAAATAATACAGCCAGACCAACCAGTCAACGCCGTGATGCTAGCTAAACTGGAGTCTGGACCTGCTGCTCATTGAACATCCCACGCATCATCCACCTCTGCCACATCATAGTCGACTTCGTGATGCGTCTGCGCCTGGGCCTGCGCATCCTTGCCCCTGTTCGGGTCCGACGGCTGCCGCTCCGGCTCGTCGACATGTTCATGCTCATGCTCCATCGCCGAATCCTCGTCCTCCTTGCGCTCTTCCGAGGAATCCTTGGGGGCTGCCGGCGGTGCTGGGGGATTCGCAACCCACGAGAACACCACCTTGCCCACCCCCGGGATCACCGACGGCCCGTAGGCCAGCTTCTCCGCCACGTACCGGTCTTTGAAGGCGACTATCAGCGAGTCGGACCGCTCCGGGTTTGGCTCGATCGATTCGTATTCGCCAATGCCCTGCCAACATTAGTATCAAGGTCGTTCATGCCATCAATCAACCAGAGAATCCTACAATCAAATACTGCTTCAACGCTTCGTCTTTCTCCGCATCAAACTCCACCCCTGACACAGCAACCCGTTTTGGCCGGTTATCCAGCCGCAAGACACCGCCGCGTCCGCGGAACGCCCCCCGTCCGCGATATCCTCCCCGGTACGAAGGATCGTACCCCCGTCCTCGAGGAGCATACCAGCCTCTCCCGCGGTAGCTGGGATATCCTCTGCCACGGCCCCGAGACGGCGGTGGCGACTCCGTGGCCGCGTTGGGGTCGATGCCCAGGCTCTTGGCCTCTGCCTCCAGAGCCGCCAGCTGCGCACGCAGCGCCTTCGTCTTCTCGCTCACATGCTCTTCCCCGGACGGCGGCGTCGTCGTCGTCTTCTCCTCGTGCTGGCCATTCGTCTCAGCCTCGATGCTGGCGCCCTTCTTCCCCAGCTTCTCCATGAGCTTGGCTTTCTCCTCTTGCTGCTTTTTCAAGAGCTCTTCGCGCTGCTTCTCCAAGGCCTGCCGGGCTTCCTCCATCTCCTTGCGCTTCCGCATCTTCTCCTCATACAATCGTTGCGCCTCCGACTGGTGCCTTTCAAACTCTTCCCGGTCAAACGGCTCTCCCTTCGTCGCCGAAGCCGGCCGCTGGGCGCCGTTGGTCTCCGGTTTGGTCGGCGGTTTGTACCAGTAGACCTTGACGAACCGGTTGTCGAAGACGGCTTTGGGACTGGACCACGCCCGCTTGGCAGCCGCATGGTCGTCGAACTTGACGAGCGCCAGGTGCCGGTTGGCCTGCAGCGACACTTCGAGGACGGTTCCAAATTCCGAGAAGTAATCCCGCACGACCTGCTCGTCGAGCTTATCGTCCGGGATATTCTCCACAACAATCGTCGTAATCGACTTGTCCTCGTTGGGGCCGACGTGCGAGAACTCGGCTCGGCCGCGTCCTCTCGCAGCAAACCCGCCCCGGTCGCCGCGGCCTCGCCCTTGTCCCCGATTTCTGTCAGAACCTCGGGATGTCTGGATATCAAGTATCTTCGCATTCGTGGGATCGTATTCTAAAGGAATTCCGTTAGCAAGACACATTGATTCAACACAGTGAATGCCACATACCGTCATCTTTCGGCGGAACAACAACCGGATCCTGTCCATGCTTGTACGGACACGCAGCCCCCATATAGCAGATCCCATTCGTCTCATAGAACGGACAGGGCTGGTCAGACTTGGCAGACTGGTCGCCCGCTTGCGGCTGGCCGGCAGCCCCAGGAATCGGCAGCGGCAGGCCTGGCATCTGCGGAAACCCCATGCTCTGCAGCGCTAGCATGGCTGCCATGGGGTTGTTTTGGTCAAAGCCCGGAAAGCCCTCTGGCATGCCAGGAAAGCCGGGCATGGGCTGGGGGAACTGCGCGTTGGGAAGACCCGGCGAAGGCCCGCCGTTGCCTCGGCCGCCACCACGCCGCGTGCGCGGAGTCTTGAACGACCGGTTCCGCGCGTCCCCCTGATCATTCTCCCCTTGGAAGCCCTCCTGGTATGTGCGCTTGCGGGAATTCGCGTTGTCGAATGCGCCCTGTTGGGTGGTAGGTGGCACATAACTGGGGACTTGCGACGTTGCCAGCGCTGCGTTGAAGGCAAGAGGTTGTTGCGCCGCCGCGGCCGCAGCAGCAGCCTGCACAGCCGGCGAGACCAAAGGCTGGAACTGAGCTGGGGGAGGCTGTTGCTGTTGTTGTTGTTGTTGCTGCTGCTGCTGTTGCTGCGGAGCTGCTGCAGCAGGGGCCGGCGGCGGTTCAGCCTTAGGAGCGTACCTGGCAAAGAGCTCGTCGACGAACGGGACGGTATCTAAAGCAGATCAGCATACATATTGAATTTTCACCAACCAGCGAATAACATAACGTAGCTTGTGGTGCGACGAACTTTCTTTCAAAAAGTCCTCCAGGTTCTCGATCGAGGCCTTGCGGATCTCCTCGTCAGGCGCATCGGATCGGATCAGGGCAAGAACATAGTCGGCCAGCACGTCAGAATCAGCATCAGAACTGCTCAAGAGAAAAAGAATTAGCAGCTGCACTTCCAGGACAGCAAGCAAGCGTCAGACCTACATATCTTCTAATCGCTGCACGACCCACTTCTTCACCTCCGCAGCTTGCTCCTCTGTGAACTGCATGTTGACAAGAGACGAGACTCCCGGAGCTCAATCCGGAGTCACTGGAGCTTGAAGAGGAAAATTGAGGCAGGGCCTTGCCCAGCAGTGAGCGCTCAGCACAGCACAGCACGCAAGCAAATGAATTCAAGCAGAAAAAAAAAAGAGAAATTGATTGACCGATTGGAGTGAGCGTTAGGAGAGTCGCCTAAGAGAAATTTCCCACCAACAGAACGACACTCATCAGAAAGAATCAGGCCATGGCACAAGAGTCCAGGACTGCACATGAATGACCAGCAGCAGACAGCCTCTTCTGGTCCGGAGAAAGCTTTGATGCGCCGCTGCAGTCGATCCCCAACCTGGCAAAACGCGCGAATCGCAGCAATCGGCTCACGTGACCACGCGGCGGAACGTGCAGGATTACATCAGACGATCAGTCTAGTTAGAATTTAGAAACTACAGTACTCTGGAGTTGATAGATATTTATGTATCTTTTTTGCTTTCATGTTCAAACTAACTAACAGCAAACAAACTCATTCGACATCACAAAGGAAAGAGGGAAATGCAATTCAGGATGTTCATGCCTTTATTCTACTCCCTTCTAGGTATCGATTTCCGGGCTGCATCTGACCGCACTGCATCTACATGCAAGAAACGGGCGCCAATCCCCATTGACGTGCTGTGACTCGCCTAACTGTATACCCTTCACTCAAGATTCTTTTTTTTTCCTTCTTCGTTTGATTTTTTTTTCCTTATTTCATTTTGGGTATGGGTTCAGCATTGGTATCATCATCATCGGCCTCGCTAAAAAGAAAAAAGCTGCTTCGCGGCCTTTGCTTTTCTGCGTGGGTCGTCATACTCGTAACAATTGGCTTCCAGATATCGTCAAGGCGAGATCTGCCCGACTCGCAATGCTTTTACAGCTTGTCGTAGTACTATAGGCGCCGTCAGTATCATCCGGAATATATATATAAAGAAATATAAATAAACACAAGTACTTACGTTCTCGTAGCCCGGAACCTGCTCCTTGAGACCCTTGCGCTTCCGGGTCTCCGCAACGATCTGACCAGGCTTCGTGGTCGGGTCGAGAGGCGAGCCACCAGGCAGGATGGCCCAGTGGTCGAAGACAGACTGAGGGAAGGCCTGACCACCGGTGGCGGCACGCAGATCGCCGGTGAAACCGAACGATTCGTTGACGGGCATGTAGGCCTTGACGGTGAACAGTGGCGTACCCGGTCTCTGCTCCTCGGTGTAGACGTGACCACGACGGCGGGTGAGCACACCGTAGATACCACCCATGGCCTGCTCGGGCACCGTGATCTCGACGTTGAAGATGGGCTCCATGATGCTGGGCTCGGCCAGCAGGGTGGCGGCGTACAGCACACGACGCGCCGTGGGGATGATCTGACCACCACCACGGTGGATGGCATCCGCGTGCAGGGTCACATCCATGATGTTGAAGCGGATCGCGCGCATCTGCTCTTCCGCAATCGGACCTTCGCGGGTCGCCCACTGGAAACCAGACACGATGGAGTCCTTGACTTCGTTGAGGTACTGGACGGCCTTGGTCTGGTCGACAATCAGGTTGGGACCGGTGGTGTCGGGACCGAAAGCCCAGATCTTCCGGGCGTCGGTGACATCCCAGCCGTACTCGTCGGCCATGAGACGGGCCCGGACCTTGAAATCGTCACGCGGGTTGATCTTGCCCGACTCGATGGCCCGGCAGACCTCCTCATCCAGAGGCTGGGCCACAACGTACAGACGGTTGTGCTTGTTGGGCGACTTGGACAAGGCGGTCATGCTGGACTCGGCGCCAACAGTCTCACGGTACTGCACGACGGGGTCGGAGACACGCAGCGGCACACCGGCGTGGTCCTCCTCGAGGTCCTTCAGACAGATCTCCAGGTGCAGTTCACCGGCACCGGCGACGACGTGCTCACCGGACTCGGAGATGAAGGTCAGGACGCAAGGGTCGGACTTGGCCAGACGCCTGAGACCTTCGACCAGCTTGGGCAGGTCGTTGGCGTTCTTGACCTCGACGGAACGCTGCACGACCGGCGAGACAGAGAACTTCATGACCTTCAGGTTGTGGGCCGTCTCGGAGGTGGTGAGAGTACCCGACTTGAGCAGGAACTGGTCGACACCGACCAGACCGACAATGTTACCGGCCGGGACATCCTCGATGGGCTCGACGAAACGACCCATCATGAGGATGGTGCGCTGGATGGCCTTGATGTACAGGTCGTCCTTCTTGCCCGGGGTGTAGTTGGGACCCTGGATGCGGACCTTCAGACCGGAGCGGACGGTACCGGAGAAGACACGACCGAAGGCGTAGAAACGACCCTTGTCCGAGGTCGGCACCATCTTGGAGACGTAGAGCATGAGAGGACCCTGCGGGTTGCAGTCACGGATGCTGATGCAGGCCTCATCATCGGTCGGACCCTCGTACAGCGTCTCAGCACGGTACTTCTGGGCGGTGACAGGCGAGGGCAGGTGCAGGACCATCATCTCCATGAGGGCGTCGGCGGCGGGCAAGAACTTGCGCATGACGGTCTTGAGCAGCTGCTTGCCCTCCTGGTCCTTCTCCTCACCGACCAGCTTGATGTCCAGCTTCTCGAGCAGGGTCGCAATCTCCTCCTTCTTGTTGTGGGTGATGGCGGAGAAGATCTTGAAGATGGGGTCCAAGATGAACTGGTTGAAGGCACGCTCCAGAGGCTTGCCCTCGTACTCGCCAGTCTTGGTCCACTTCTTGGTCTTGGGGTTGAAGTAGTTGTCACCCCAGAGACGCTCCATCATCTTGTTGCGGTCGACACCAAACTTCTTGGCGTACTTGACGGCAAACTGGCGGACGGTGAAGGCCCATCCGTGGAGACCGGAACCGAAGGCGACGGTACCCTTGTCCGGATAGACCTGGACGTCACCAAGCACCTTGTCGAGGTAGGTGGCGATGATGACATTGACGGACTCGATGGTCCGCGAGAAGGACTGGTACAGGTCCTCCTTGGAGACCTGCAGCTCGAGCAGGGCACGGTCGACCTTGTTGATGACGACGACGGGCTTGATCCGCTCGCTCAGGGCCTGGCGCAGCACCGTCTCGGTCTGGACACAGACACCCTCGACACAGTCGACGACGACGAGGGCACCGTCGGTGACACGCAGAGCGGCAGTGACCTCGGAGGAGAAGTCGACGTGACCGGGCGAGTCGATCAGGTTGATCAAGAACTCGTTACCGTCGACCTTCTGGGGAATGTCCTTGAGGTCTTCGGGGTCGGGCAGTTGGGCGTACAGGGAGATGGCCGTGGACTTGATGGTGATACCACGTTCCTGCTCATCCTGACGCGTATCGGTGAAACGGGCCTCACCAGCCTTTGCGGCGGAAATAATACCAGCACGCTGGACCAGCGAGTCGGTCAGGGTCGACTTTCCATGGTCGACTAAAAAACAGTGAAATTGCAGTCAGAACACCACAATGCCCACACCAGCGGCAGAGACAACCGGGATAGACGTACCGTGGGCAATGACGGACATGTTCCGGATGTTGGCCGGCCGGTCCATCAAGGCCCGGATCTGGATGTTGTTGTCAGGTGTCAGTGCTGCTGTCCACAGTCGACCCCTCCAGGCGAGAGCGGGGGAGCAAACCAACCTCTTCGATCGTGAAGCTGCAGAGAGAAAGCACACGTCAGTCCAGCGTCCATGGCAACGAATTCGGCTCGCATGCAGGGCAGCATGGCGATGCAGAGCAGCAGGGGAGAGGCTTACTTGACCATCTTGACGGATTTTTTCTCAACGGCCCTAGAGGCGGGGTTGTGCGATCAGATGTGAAAAAAGAAGAAGAAGAAAGGGACCACCAAGCGCAGAAAGCGACACACAGAGAGTCAGGATCGAGGACTGGCTCGACCTGAAGGGGGCTCTAGCGGAGAGGGAACCTGTCTGCGCTACTCCTGCGATGAGAAGAGAGCTGGGGGGGAGAGAGAGAGGGAAAGGTGTGCGCAGCAGCAGGCGAGGCGAGGGAAAAACGGCGGAAGTGGGGAAGGCCAGCGCTGGGCAGGCAGGATTTTGCCGACTGCCAGACCACAAACCCTGCTCGCTTTTTCATTCGTGCGAGTCTGGCAGCTCTGCTACGTTCCAGTTTTTGTCTTCGTGTTTTTTGGTTTTTTTTCTCCTGCCCCTCGTCTACGCAGCCCCTCATGCCCCAATGCAGCGGTTCGCTCGCACGACGCAGCCAGCCAGCCTTGACAGAGGAAAATACAAAGAGTCATCGGATGACTCGAAGCGTTGCCTCTGATGTAATCGGATTACTCATACTGCTCACAAGTGACTCTACCTAGGTACTGTACATACAGTACAATGCGTGTGCGTTGCTGGAGCACCAGGGCAGGAGGCAGCAATGACAGTCGTCCTGCCCACCGTGATCCAGCGCTTGTCAATTACTGATCCAGACGACTGTTCAGCATTTGTCATGACAGACATTATTATTATTAACAGAGCAGCAATTATTATTCTGCCCGCGAGGGGCTTCCACGGTTGCCGTTCGCGGCCAACGAGGGGCTCGGCCAATCAGCGAGCGAGGGGCAGGTGATCCCGGCCCACTCACCGCCAGCCGGACTTAAAGGACTTAAGCGGACACGAGAAAGAAAAGAAATTAAGAATCAATTAAACCTCTATCTCTATATACAATGCAGCCTGCTATGGTACAATAATAATGCATCTCGAGTAGAAGCCATAGAATAAATACGTATACAGGAACAATCCCCCAAACCCAGAAATACGCCAGCCAAACTCCATCTATGATCAATCTCGAGACACCCACTCCGTCCTCTCACCCCAGAATCTTCGAATACGCGTCTTCTACCTCCTTGGCCACCTCCAGCAGCGTCACGATGATGATCTGGTGCGTGATGTTCGGCAGCTTGTCGCGGTGCAGCCCAATCCACTCCAGCGGCGGCGTCGCCTCGCCCATGTCCCGCAGCTGCGGCGTCTCGATCAGCGGCGGCTCCAGCGGCCGGTAGACGTACTTGGACTGCGGCACGTTGACCACCGCCGTGATCTTCTGCTGCTCGCCCTCGCCCGCATCCGCATGCTGCTCGTCGCCCTCGTGCTCCGCTTTAGGTCCGCCCGTGATGCGCACGGCTGACGGCGGCAATGGCTTCCCCAGCCGGCTGGCGAGCGCCCGAGAGTGACTCGTCCACATGCCGCGGATGAAGCTGATGCGAGAGTAGTTCCACCCCACGTCGACCTTGCCTTCAAAGGCGCTCTTGAAGATGTACTCGATCTCGTTCGATGCCATCGTCTGCCACGTCTCCATGCTTGCCACGACCCGGGGGACCTTCAGGATCGTGCCTCCTCGAGACCCCGTGGCCCGCGCAGCCACCTCGTCCACTGATAGCTCGGCCAGCTCCACGGCAGACGGCCGACTGATGCTGGACAGGGCGACGCGGAGTTCACCCAGAGTAAGTCCCAAGGCGCTGTGGATCTTGTCGTCCTCCAGCGAGACGGCAAACCGCGCCTGGGCGTCGAGGGCCTCCATCTTGAGGATCTGGTTGTCAAAGAACGTGCTGGGAAAGGCACCAACGTTGATCGCTTGAATGGTCACAACGACATCGGTATGCAGCGAGATCGGTGCCTTCGCGGAGCTCTCGTCCTTCTTGGACGTCACAATGGGAGGTGCGTTGGTGCTAGAGCTAATGACCGACGACTTGCGGCGCAGATACCGCTCAATTTCCTTCAGAGAGGCTTCGTATGCGGCATACTTGTCCTGCACCAGCCGCTGCCACGTCTGGAAAAGCGCCAAAGACTGCGACGCAGTCAGCGTCGTGCAGAAGACTTGCACTTTGTCGCCTTCGAGAATGCTGACTAGCTGATCTTGGGACGGCTGGGTGCTGCTGCGGACATTGTACATCAAGAACGCAAACGCGGCGATATCAGCCACGAGGAACGGCTGATACTCGAACGACGCGTTGGCCTGCAGCTCATCAAAGGCCACCGAGGCCTGAATCAGCGGAGTCCGGCCCGAGGTTGGCGTCTCGTCCGGCCACTTGATGAAGGTCCGGACTTTGAGCTTTCTGAGCTCCACAGACCCGCTCATTCGCCCCCTGCTTTCGATAGCCATGGTGTCGAATCCCGCGCAGAGGTTCTGTTCCCAATCAGACGTTTTCTTGGACGAAACCCACAGGTCCTTGATCGTAAACTCGGCCTTGCCAAGTGTCTGTCCCAGATCGAGCTGGATATCGAGCTCGTCGATGGCGATGGCCGTATTCCAGGGAAAGGCACCGGCCGATGCAACCTGCTGATATCGTTGTACAATCAAGGCCTGTGATTCCGCTGAGGGGCTGGGGGACGTGGCGGTGAACGTAGCCTCATCGCCAGAAGGCACCCAGATCTCTCGGAACAGGAGGAAATCTTGGACTTGTTTTGCGTTGACCATAATCTTCATCGGACTAACTTTGAGAATAGCAGAGATGCCGCTGCTGGTGCTGACGTGTTTGCTGTTCATGAGCGACACGACGATTGACTTCACCTCAAAGCTCGCTGTCGATTCATTGGAATACACATGCTTGACCGACGCCTGCAGGTCGTTGAATGCAATGAGAATAGCGAAGAATCGCCGCTGCTCGGCAGACTGGACGGTGTTGACAGTCACGTAGATATCATCAAACCGCGCAGTGGCGGCGACCCGGGCGATCGGTTGACAGCTTAAGCTGAACTCCTGCTTACAGATCCGCAGGCCGATGTTCAGCTTGCAACGGCCCAGTATCGTCTCTGGATTGGTTGCGTCCAGCGAATTATCCTGCACCATCTTTTGCGGCTGGAGCTTGCTCGAGGAAGACGGTCTGGGTTCATCCTGCTCACCCACCACCTCCTTAACGCTAGCCGATATCTGCTTGATAAGAGGAACCACGGTGGGGTACAGAGTGTTGCTTGAAGGGCTCACCCTCAGCTCTGCATTCAGGGTTGGGTCTTCGGTCCCACTATCGCCATATTGCACTTTAAGCGCAACACCTGGAGCTCGGAGCGAGGCAGTGGTCGCCGAGTCACCCTGCACATACTGTCCATATTTGCCCTCAGCAGGTCGACTGCCCCTCACCGTCGCCGCAAGCAGTGTCTGTTGGTCATCCAGCTGTCTGCCAAGCAACGAGACGATGGCTCCAGCAAAGTCGACGTCGACGAGCAGAGACGACAGGCGCTTGTTCCCAAAGAGACCTTTTCCATTTCCGCTATTGGATTGGGAAGGCGACGTAGCCCAGATCGCGTTGGCCTCGCGCAGCTTCTCACTAGCGGAAGCGATGGAATTTTGCAAGAGACTGGCAGGAAGTATGAATTCGGTGGTCGCTCGAATGTCCAGAGACTTGCCCGCCGCCTGGAAGGCCAGCCGTAGATCTTCCTTCGTAGATAGATATGCGACGTTGAAGACGATCTCCGGCATCAAAGCCGAATTCAGAGACCGCTTCCGTTTGTCCTCATGTTTGGGCGTCATCTGCAGTTGCATGTCTTGGATTCGGAGCTTGGCAGCATTCTCTCTCGTGGTAGATAGAGTCACGTAGCGGATAGAGAACACCAGATCTTCCGGCTGATATCCTGATTTAGCGCATGGGCCATCCATGATCCAGCTCGCCTGGATATTGGCCAACTCCACCGAGTACATGGCATTGAACAAAGCCTGTGACTGCGGTTCTGACTCGTCCGTGATTTTAAATTCCGGCACCTGCGTCATCAGTCCCTTATTCCGCGGCCGGGCCAGACGTCCCAATTTTCTGAACCGCTTCATGTCCTCGGAAAGATCGAGCGTCTTGATACGTTCTTGTAAATGAGCCGCAATGTCGATCACCAGAGACGCTGTTTCGGCAAAAAGCTCTACATCCAGGCTTTTGCTGGTCAGGTGATATGCTCGCACGATTTCGTTCCGCTCGTTCAGTCTCGATGTGCCCACAATACCGGCGTCTAAGACGAGACTGCCATAAGGCCGAACCTGTGATTTCTCCTGTCTCCTCAACTCGAGGGCAATTTGAGACACGTTGATATGGAATTCTGGATATCCAGAGGGATATCTTTGTCCCGAGGCATTGTCCAGGCGCATCTGCATGGCTCCGAAGCTGAAATCCATATCCGCAGAGTATTCTTTACTTCTCAGGCCCGGGGCGCGAGCGTGAATCCCCATGCCCGCCATCGTGAGCTGTATGTTGTAGAGAATTTCACGGCTCTTGGAACTGTCTGAAGAGCGTGGGGTCGGGTCCTCCCGAACCAGAACATCCTCAAAATGTAGGTGAAGTTCCTCCACACTTTCCTTGAAGTCCGACACAAAGTGAGATATCTCTGGGCGATTCACGACGTTCAAAAGACTGCGCAGCGCACTGGCTTGTAGCCTGATAAGTTCGACTGTGACGTCGGCCTTCAGCCAGATGAGATCTGGCGACAGTCTCCCGAGAATCCTTCCGTTGATTGGAGGCACATGGACTTCAGACACGGTTTGCGGTTTGCCTTCTTCCATAGACTGAAAGACGTGGTAGTTGCTTTTGATGTCGAAATCAACTTCAACCCCACTGTCTTTGCTGGACATGACGGACATGCGAGCTACCTCGCCATGGATTACGTAATTCAAAGATGGAAGAAGACAGAAGTTGATTTGATAGTCATCCAGGAATAGAGCAACATGGAACTGATGGACGTCGGACTTCTTCTCCGGCTTTTCAGCAGGAGGAGTCGAGGGTCGGCTCATCGTCTGCAGTTCAAGTCTTTGGAGAAGGTCACGGACATATCGCACTTCATCTTCCACGACCCGATCCGCGGTATGGATGAGACCCAAGGGATCTTCTCTCATGTCATAAAGGAACTTCTGACACGAGCACGCGACCTTCCAGTCGTATACCACATTGTCCAGACTCCTATCCAGCACATAGGAGCTGTAGACGTTTGGTCGCAAGATTTCCCACAACATCAGCACTTTGGACCGACTCGAAAATTTGGCTGAACAATCCTCGGCGCTGAGAAGAACGCTCATCTGTTCCTGCACCTCCGCGTGTTGTGGACGATGGACCAACGAGCCTTTAAGCCCATAGCCCATCAATGCCAGTCCCAGATTAATCCCATCGAGGGTAACAGATCCAACATCAGCCCCGAGAACAACATGCAACTCAAGGGGTGCCTTCTCTTTAATCTCTGTGGCTGCGGCGGGTGATGTAGATTCGAGCGTGATACTTGATATTGTCCTTGTAACTCCTTCCACAAGATCGAGTATCTCCCAGCGTAAACGTAAAGCCGCCGATGCACAATATGACCGCAGGCTTATGATTTCCTTGTTCCCTTCCGAGGTAGCCTCCTTTTGGTGCTTTGGTGAACTGACAGCAAGCGCAATGAATAGCCCCTCAACAATAAAGTCGCTCTCTTTCGGACCAGGGTCAACGACGAAATTGAAAGTTTTGACTGCACATGAGAAGGTTGTTGAATTGACAGGGGCGTCATCGTTGGGTTTGCTGCCTAGGTTACCCCAGATTTTCTTCATTGCATAGCTTTTCTCAACACGAGCAAGGTCCCAAGGGCGCCATTCATCAAAACTTTCCATAACCATGGACTTGGCGTTTGGTGGACAGGGGTCCCTAAGATCGATACAGTTTGTCTTCAGGGCTTGCTGCCTGTCCGGCGAAAGGTTCTTGTAGATGTTGCGCAAGCGAGATAAGATTTTCCATGAATCGTGGAGTCGCAAATGGGACCGGGCCACTCGGAGGACAGACGAAGGCCGTGTTAAGAACAACGGGTCAGGGATGCCAGCAGCAGACTCTGTAAGTGACCAGACTAGGTAGCGTAAACGATCGACGCTGGAAGACGCTTGCTGGAAAGAGGAGGTTATGGAATCGAGCAGGGTCGTAGTTCGTTGCACCAAAAATGCGAGCGGCTCCACCGACTTCGTCGATGTCACTGTCTCGAATGATCGCATTTGAAGATGGGACTGCGTGCTCGGGACGGTCGCTAGCCAGAGGACAATTTCTCTCAAGGAGCAGCTGAGCTCTGCTTGTTCTTGAAAAGCATCTGCTCGTTTACCCAGAGCGGAAACGGACAACATATCCGCTGCTGCATGGATGACCACGTTCTGCTGTATGCCGTTCACCAGATCATCCTCTTTCCGTTCCACCTCGGTTTGAAGTGTCGCCTTGAGATGAGTTAAAGACACCTTATATTCATCTTGAAACTGAAACTGAGAATCATTCTCGGAATCTGACAAATTGAGGAGTCTCAATACTGTGGACGGAATTCGGACAGAGAAGCTGGTCGTCGCTTTCGGCGATTTTATTGCTTTCTCATGCTTCACGATATCGGACACAACACCCGTTTGGAGCGAATCGATTATATCGACTGGTTCGACAGGCTCCAATCCCTGAACTAGCGAGGACAGGGCAAGCAGGAATTCTGGAGTGCAAAACCCTCTGAGCCCTGGAGAAAGCTCACAGAAGATATCCACATGAGTTGTCTTATCATCTTCGGAAATTCCAATGAAATCACGGTCGTTAACGGAGGTTTCAGTTGCACGAGTAACAGGAGGAAGAGGGGGAAGCTGTGTCGAGTCTGGGACAACCTTGTAATAGTGAAAGTGTGGCATGGCCCATGGACTAGAGAGAGCGAGTATCGAGGGCTGCGGCTCTTCCGACAGAGAGTCGTGAGGATAGAACTTGGTCTCCCCTCGTTGTCTGAAGTGCCGAGCCTTGTCACCCGAGACACGATCATCATTCGACCGAACCTCGGAAATTTGGCTTTTAGAGCGAGACATGCTTCCCTTCGGAATGCTGCTCTTGCTGTGCGAACTTGAAGCACCCAAAGATAAAAAGGAACTCTTATGTTTCAGGCTGCTCTGAAACCTCGACGCAGAACTTGAGGACGACATGTCAGACCACGCTGTCGCATCAACAACCGGCTCAGGCATAGACGGAACCACCATCGCTGGCGGATCAACTCTAGTACCCTTCCCGGACGACGGGATCCCATCAGCTTGCTCTGGATCGAGCAGTAGCCACGGTGTCCGATGAGTCCTCTGATCATGCAACCTTATGTGTTCTTGTTGCAATCTGCGATCCTCGTGAAAGTTCGACTTCCGGTGCAGCATTGTTAATTTGACATTTGTCTCAAAGAGGGCGTACGTAGTCACAGAGCTGTATCCTTTCCCCTGCCATCGCGCAGGCGACTTACGGTCAACTGCAGCAACAGTGATATTGGGAACTGTAAGGGATAGTCGTTTCGAGAATCGCCACCGGGCCCAGTCATTGAACTGCACTGTAATGGCGTCACATCCAAGAATCAACGCAGTTCGATCCACCAGGACAGACATGTGAACCGATGCAACTCTTGCACGCAGGAATGTAACATCGTGGAGAGCAACCGGATGCAATGGTGGTAGAGCGTTTTCGTGGTCATCGAAAGTGAAGTCAATATCCCGCAGCGCCGCCAGCAGGGATCTTAAAAAGTCCGGAGAGCATTCACCCACGACTTTCCCTACCTCAAAATCCCAGTTGCACACGTATGTTGGCTCCGTCGGCGGCAGTCCAAACAAGCGATGCCCGTAGATCGAAACTCCATCGATAAACAATTGAGTGTTTGAGACACTGACTGCACCGTTGGAATCCAGCGATTCTAAGGACACCTCAACAGGACTGAGAGCAGCTTGCAGGTCCATGTAGTAATTCGTGAATCGCATGTCCAACTCGATGGATGCGGCAGTCAGTCGGAGGCTTTTCGAATGATCGTAGATATTGGTCGGAAGGAGCACACAGGGGCTATCGACGTTGACACGAAGAATAACATCAAGATCATTGCTCTTTCTATTTGGGTTCAAGCCATGTGCGCCCGACGGTTCCTGGGCGTTAGCAGCCTCCTGAAACTCTTCCAAAGTTCGGAAATGGATCTCTTCGCCGAAATAATTCTCCCTAACTCTCATGAAGTACCGAATTAGGAACCCGTACAGATATAACCTCGGAGATCCGCCAGAAATATCCATCACAAGAGTGTCCGTTAATGCTGATGAGGTGGCACTATTGTACGTGTAGCTGCCATTGATGATCAGATCATTCAGGGTGGCAACCGATTTGTCCCTCAGGAAAGTATGGAGCGTGTGCCACAATGGGGTCAAGAGATCAAGACCTCCGTCTTCCAGCTTTAGCTCGAAAGTGACGGTATTTTCCTCAGGCTTATACTTTGTGGCAGGTATCCCAACATGGGACGTCAACTGTTTCCCTTTGACTACCACAAACGTGTTATCGTCCAGGTCCGAGGGATTGTTGATGATGTTCGAGTCATTGACATTCATAAAGAGCTGGAAGTTGGTAAAAAGAAGTTTGATGTTGTAAATGAACGGAACAAAGGTATAGTAATCCGGAGCGGAGCCAGAGGTCCAGTCGCTGACAAGGTCTGTTATAAGAAATATATGGTCTCTTAACAAGAACAATTCCATGTCGCGGCTCTCTACCTTGAACTCCCATTGATGGAGACTATTCCAAGTAAGCGAGTTGGAAAGATCACAGGAGATTATCTGACGCGGACATTGCCATAACAGCCCATGATTGACGCTTGACGACATCCTGGACTCGCGAAGATCGAGGGTAAGATAGTTGTGATAACCCGTCTTGGAAGGAACCATGTCCATATTGTAGGTTATAGTTGAATCTCGAGATACTCGCAGGGAGAGCCATCCAAACGGACGGATTTCAGGTCCGACTGTCCCTTTCTCACCCTCCTTGTTTCGCCACTGTCTTTTCTGTTTTTGCTTTTTCAACTTTGACACCCCGCGGATGGCGTCAGCTCGACCTTTCCACTGCCAGTCTTTAGATTCCTCTCTAGTTGGGATCCTCAATGTTGTGTCTTGATTGATCTCTACGCGAACCCTGAATACCGTGCTTCGTCTCCAGGCCCCTGGTGTCAGCGGCTCGGCGGGCTGGGCACTCCGATAAGGATTGGGGAAGAAAACGTTCTGTAGACCAACCCGTTCCCTATCGGCCCAAGGGCCGTAATTTATCGTACCGCCGTCGATCTTCAAATCGAGTCCCCATTCGGGAGGATTACTTCCATTGATATCTTGCGATACTTTCCGGATGGAAGAAGATAGCTCGGCTTGCTCGGAAGGAACCCTTCCAGGAATGTCCCAATAGTAGGTCAACGTTAACGCGGGACAGTCGACGAGCGTTGAGAATCTTGCGTACTCTACAGAATTCCAACCCTCGTGCTCATCTGTGTTTTCATCCAGGTACCGAGTGAGACCGAGCCATCTGGTCTCGGGAGAAAGACCGGTGCGACTAGCGGATATCGTGTTTGGACCCCTCTCATGATGCGAGTCGACGTGGAACGATTCCACCGACTTCTGGAAATATGGAATCAGATCCCGAATGCTATGCCATATCTCACGTTTCTTGCGCTGGTAATTGAAAAGAGTGGCTCTCTTATGTCCCTTTCGCTTTTCATCGACAGGCATCGAACTCAGTGTATGGGCAGCTGCCGCTTCAAGCTGAAGGTACTTAAAGTCGGGGTTCGGCCGCAGCTGAATGATGGGGTGAGTGAACTCGAACGTGAAGATTTGTCGATAGAGATCTAGAGGGCCTGCATCGCTCGCATCAATCAACCCGGTTGCTTTTTCAAATGTCACTGTGAGAACCGATCGTGTATTCTCGTTCCCGGCGACAATTGCTCCCTTGGTGCACTCCACTTTGACCGGCAGCAACTGCAACAATTTCGAAATGGAATCCTCTGTGTCCGAGTCGACCGCATCTACATGCTGATCCGACGACACGGTAGATTCAGCATGACTATTCCTGGCTGAGGAGCTTTCCCTGATAGAAGGATCGCTCGACGTTCGGGTGGGCCGGGCGGAGAGGCCTTTCCCTGAGCCCTGCCGGGAGCTGGCATATCCTGTCGATTTTGCTCCGGGTGAAGGAGATCTTGAGCCATGCGTAACGGAATCCTGGTCCCCGGCACTGGCAAACCCGGAGAGTATATCATCATACGCAGGGGTCCGATTATAGATGAACCACTCCAGGCCGTAGACGGTGATCACTATACGACAAGGAAGACGGTCCGCTTCTGCCACACCACCCGTTTCTCCACGGTTAGCAGCATGCTCACTATCGTGATCACTTCCCGAGACCGCGTCGCTGTTTCTCTGCGAGGAACCCGGTCGACATTTGGATCCACTTGCCCTCGCAAGGTCGACTCGTTTGACAGCACGCTTCCAGTAGTTCCATGTCACGTAGCCGCCATGAACCAGAATGGTTTCGTTCACACCATGGTACCGGATGCCTTTGAAGAAGATCCTCCCACCCAGTAAGGAGATCTGGAGAGCTTGGATGTCGACATACGCACGATAGTAGTGCCACGTGTACGCTCGAACGCCGTAGGAAACAAGGGTCGCGAAGAGGCGGTTGAAGTAGAAAAAGAAGAACAGGGAGCTGGCATTCTCGTTAGACACGGCAAGGAAGAGTATAGCTGGGGAATTGGGGCTCACAGGATGCCGCAAACAATCAGCTCTACCAGGAAGAACCTAGAGACGAGTGAGAAATCGGCCAGACCGGGGGATACACTGGCATCCAGCATTACCAGTTGAACTGAGGACCCGACGTGGGGGGCTGCAGCTTCAAGTCAGTCGAAACCATCTCCGCGGCAGCAAGAGCGTTGTGGGTGCTCTCGAGCAGGCCGTGGACATTGCGACTCTCAGCTGGTGCGACCGCTCCAGGACAGACGCATCGTGTAGTCTTCGATGCTAAATGATTCTTCGCTTCCTCTTGTCCGCCTCAACCGGCAAGAGTGCTTGTGGACGAGGGGAGCAGCAGGGGGCCGGAGCAGCGTAATGATTGATGCGGTCCCGCAATGTCACGCGTCGCCAGTGGAGCTGCGGAGAGCTCTAAGAGACTAAGCCGGCAATCCTCCTGCCTGACACCGCATCAGCTCCACCACCACGACGTGGTTCTGGCGGTGGGCATTCCTGGCCTCTAGCAGCTGTTCGCGACAGAAGGATTCTGCGCGCTGTCATTTAGACGCGGAATGATCCTGTCTCCGGGGTCCTGAGCGCGTGGTCGAGGACTGCGACACTTATCCACACCCACAATGGATGTGAGTGCCTCCTCGGGAGGCACAGGCTCGAGGCTTGCGCGCGCAGTGGTCATCGTCTCCGGTGTGGCTTCTCTGGTGGCCACATTACTGTCTCTCGTGTGAGTACGGCCCGATCAGTCCGTTTCGTGGCTGGTGGCAGAGGAAGTTAACCGGAAATTGCCATCCTGGATAGGTCGATATGGCTTCAAACGTACGTTCAGAGGCTGCCATTTACGCAGACATCCATTGACGGTATTGCCCAGGAAAAACTACCGGAAACCCTTACTCCAACGCTACGTTGTGCGGCTGTTGTTGATGTGGGTGACTGGACTACCGGTGCCGGATCAGAGTGGGAGCAGCTGACGGTCGCTAGGGTTCCGATATACGCAGCATCGTCGTGGGCGAGTATTGTTTCGCTGCAGGCTTCACTTTGGCTGGACCCGATTCGTGATGTCTACGAGGCATGGCTTCCCGTCCAACTGCGCGGGCTTATATCTGACCTGATGCAGGCTTTTACCATCTACACCTTCTTCCAACTGCTTATCAACTTCCTCGGCGGAGAACGAGCCCTAATTATCATGACCCACGGGAGACCGCCTGTCCAGCATGCTTGGCCGCTTAATCACTGTCTTCCCAAGGTCGACATCTCCGACCCTCACACGTTCTTAGCGATCAAGCGGGGCATCCTGCAATACACGTGGTTGAAACCCATCCTGGCAATCATCTCAATAATCATGAAGGCTACGGACACTTTCCAAGAGGGTTATCTGGGGCTGACATCCGGGTACCTCTGGACCGGAATCGTGTACAATATCAGCGTCACCGTGAGCCTGTATTCCCTGGCCTTGTTCTGGGTCTGCATGCACGAGGACCTGAAGCCGTTCCGCCCCGTTCCCAAGTTCCTCTGCATCAAACTCATCATCTTCGCGTCGTACTGGCAGGGGTTCTTCCTGTCGATCCTACAGTGGTTGGGTGCGATCCCCAACGGAGTTGCAGGTTACACACCCGACAATCTAGCTGCTGCTATACAAGACAGCTTGATCTGTTTCGAGATGCCTGTCTTTGCAATTGCCCATTGGTACGCCTTCTCGTGGCACGATTATGCGGATGCCAGGATATCGGCGGCCCGAATGCCGGTCAAATACGCCATCCGAGACGCATTTGGGGTGCGGGATCTCATCGAAGACACCAAGCAGACCCTCCGGCGCGAGAACTACGGATATCGGCTATTCGATTCCGGAGATCACATCATCGCGCATGAGGAGTCCAGCTCCCGGGTAAGGAGAGTGATGGAGGGAATGAGGTACGAACGAGGAGGAAAGGGGAAGTACTGGATTCCTAAACCCGGCGAAATCAACAGCCGGACGCCGTTGTTGGCTGGCGCGGGGACCCGCAACGGATCGCCGAGCACCTCCAAGAGAGGCAGCGTGATCGACCGGTATCGATCATATGGAGAGCTCGAAGAGACCACACTGGATGAGGAAGATGAGCGTCTCTTCGAGAGTGCACGACAATTGGAGTTTGGCGACTGGAACGTAAGTTGAATTAAAAGGACCAGAGTCACGCTGCGGAGAGCTAACTACGTTCAGTATCCTGTGATTCTGGCCAACCAAGTTCCTCGAGATCAGCAATTACCGAGCACTCCAAGCTACCAGAATTACGAGCAGGCCACTGTCGTGAAAAAGGCCTCGAAACACCGAAACAGCCACGTCTCTGATGGGAGACGGGGGAGTCGAGCCGCTGGCCCAAGTAGCTCGAAAGCTTCCAAATCTCGGCGATCGGAGCATCCCCAGCACGATTCGAGGCCTTCCAATTCCGCCCGCTCTGGCCGCAGCCAACTGGTGGATCTGGTCGTGGAAGACCGGGAAGCTGAAGAACAACAACGAAGTCGAGCCCAGCGAGAACTAGGCTCAGCAGGGAACGAAAGTGATCAGAGGTATTTCCGGTAAGACCACACGCGTTTGGAGCCATGTTTTGCCTATTATGCTCACCTTCTGTCAGGCGACCGTCTGGTGGTCCCGTGGAAGCCAGTTCAGACCAGAACCAATCTACACAGGCCAACGTCCCAGCCAACACGGACACGGCATCGCCAAACGTTGTCGCAGAGGAGGAGGAGAGCGAAGAAGAGAGATACCCACGGCCACCGCACCTGGAGTACGGGGCCTTTGATGAAGAACACAATGTCTGGGGCAGATAACAAGGACCCTGGTCGTGGAGCAGAAGAGCCAGGACTCTCCGTTCCACCTGAGACAGATCTGTTTTTGGCTTTTCCTAGTCTATATTTGATGTTAGCCATATAATCGCTATGCGCGTGTTTAGCTGATGACGGGTGAAACACCCTGGTGGGATCCAATTGATAGCATGAAGACAAGAATAGAGCTGAATGACGGCCTGGTCGAGACCACGCTGAAACACCGTAGAGAAACCCTTCATTTGGCACGAGATGCCTGCCGTGGCCTGTTGCAGTCTGATGAAGCAGAACAAAGCTGTGGTCGCGGGCGCTGATAGGCGGGCGGGCAGCGCGTGCCGATCGACGGCGCCGACGCCTAAACTGCCCTGAGATAACCAACTCCTAAGACATCAACCTATCGCGCGCACGAGGCCTGCTGCACGCGGGCGCTGCGAAGCCCTTGCCAAGGGATCGGCGCAACTCTTTTGTTTCCCGGCGAATGGCGCCCTCGCATGCAGCTCAGCTCCCCTCGCGCCGTCCTCCGATGCGACCTCGCGGACGGGGATGACTGGTCACCAGCGCGTGCGGACGCCGGCAATCAGCTGCAGCATGCCCGTGGCCATCCTGCAAGAGGCATAGGCCCATGCAGCTGCTCGCTTTTGGCTTGTAACCTGCAGCATGTATATCTGTGTGGCCGTCGCTGTCCTCGACTCCTCGCAGGCGGGGTTGGTTCTTCCCGGAGGAGGCGCTGCAACGGCTGAGCCGAAGTCGTCTTTCTCTCGCTGTGCGAGCCCTCGCGGTTGTTATGCTCGATCTTCATCCTTCACTCGAGTTCTTCATGGGAGAGCTGTCATGAAAGGCTGAGTGGCCGCCGATGACGGTCCCAACGCAGCAAGCAGGACTCATGTTCGCTGCCTGGCTCTCGTCCTGCCTGTCTTGCTTGTGGTCCCAGGAGGATCGCCAGAGCGGGAGTCATCGGCAGGCGACGGGCAGCAGAGGTGAGATATGTCCGAATGTATACTGCTGAGGGATGGGCTGGCTGACGAGTGTTGATAGCAGTTGAGCGGGAGATGAAAATATGTCACAGTCAGCCGCATCTCGTTCCTCCGATGAAGCTGGTCTTCTACGATAACCTGCCCAGCCCGGGTCCTCCGTCGCGATCGAGAGTGTCTTTATTGCCGACATTGATAGGCGAGGGCCGGAATCTCGCTGCAAAGGCGTCCAGCCGGGCCAGCTTGCTCGTGAGAAGAAAAGCACCAAAGCGGCCGACGATCAGTGCGCCAACCAACTTCAGGAGAGTCGAACCTCCTCAAAGTCGTGTAGGGTCTGGGTCATTCCGGCCTCTGGAGCTCAGCATCTATATGCCGGGCAACCAACTGCCTGATCTGCCCGAATTCGACAAATTTTCCCTGGACGGACTGAGACAGCCCTCTCCTCCACCAAAGGCTGTAACGTCTCAATTTGACATGTACCGTGCACGGCGTTGCCAGTCAGCTACTTTTAACCTGCCTCGAAAACCTGTGGGCTCAGGGTCACGTCGAAGTTCCCTGGCGACTCTGGAACTGATGACGGAGCGCGAGAGACAGGCTCCAAATCCGTTAATTCCTCACTTCTCGACTCTCGTGAGAAGCCCGCCTCCTGTGGGCACATCAGTGACTACCCGTACGCGGCCGCTGAGCGCACCACTTGACAGAGTGCAAGAGCCGGTATCATCATCACCGGTTCGCGACAAACCGCTGCCATCCACCCCAGATACGCCCACAGCATCTCCTTCCTCTGACAGACAGTCGCTCGACCATTTCCGCGCTGGCAAGCGGAGATTCGTTTCTGCATCGCCGTCTATCCAAGAGCACTCCCCACTGAATTCCAACCCGCCGGAGCCCGCATCTCCCAAGCCTACCACTGTCCTCCAACACAGCCGCTCTCGGACCATGAGCGGCTCGACCATGTCGTCGACAACGACGGCCGTAACTGCGGGGCATGGAACATCGCCTTCGCTTTCGAGCGCCGTCACGGCCGCGACGACGACGCTGCAGTTCTCCATGTCGGAGGCCCAGACTTACAAAGAGATCGAGTCCGGTCTGCAGATTCCGCTCAGCCCGAAGTATGTCGACTCGTTTCCGCGAGTGTACGAGGAGGAGGAGGAGCAGCCGCGCGGATACGAATATGATCGGCGCTTCCCGGACACTCGTATCGGCGTTGCTTTCTAGAGCCGTACGGGTGTTAAGAATTTATCTCCCTTAACTTCTCTTCCATACGCACCTCTAGATCGTCTAACACACCTTACCCTATCATCACTGTACATCTAATTATCTCAAACCTGTCGATACCCCCAACAACACATTCAGATACCCATATGATACCCCTGCATTCTACCTTCTATCCTACCCTTCTCCTGTCTCCTGTCTCCCGTCTCCTGTCTCTAGCTTCCGGCTTCTAGCTTCCCTTGCATTCCTGAACCCGTCCCATCCACCCGAGTACTCCGCTTTTCGTCACAAACTAATAATAATAATTCCTTGGAGCAGCAGAACTCCCTCCCTTCGCGTTTCCCCCTGTCCCTGTTTCTGCTCTTCCTGCTTTTTGCTTTTTTGCTTCCTTGCTTTCTCTGTTCCATGTTTTTCAAGGGAAAAAAAAAACGGCGGTTGGTTCACTTGAACCACTGCAAGCACCTTATTCGTTTTTGTCTGTCTGTCTGTTCGGTTGGTTGGTTGGTTTGTTTCTGTTCCTACCGTAGGTAGGGGATTCATTCAATACAGAAAGGTCGGTTGGTAGTTAGTTTAGCTCAAGTTTAGTTAAGTAGGTAGGTAGGAGGTAGTTTTAATGATAGATACGTATACATCTACATTTACATGCAGATATACCCTGTAGCCCTAATTATGATTGACTGACATTATCAATCACAACAGCCTACGTGGAAGTTTTCATCCAAGCAATTAAATTAAATTAATTATACGAAGTCGAATTTCGTTCATTATTTGCTAGCAATCTAATCTACCGTTATAACTATGATTTAATAAGTTGAGGAAGAGATGAATATTGCGCGAGGAAGCGTGCAATATATATAATATTCAATTTTGTTCATCCAGTATTTTTTTTTATTATTTTTTCTACCTAGCTAGCTGACCGACTAATCAGAGCGAAAAAGAAGGCAGATTGATACGCTTTCGAAATTGCAGCACAACTGCAGTTCAATTCACTCAGGCTTCCGACCATACACAACATAACTAATAGTTGACCGGCAGTTAGTAATAAATAAAGATCTCGTAGTAGTAAAAGTATATATAGGTAAATCAACTCACAAGTCGGCCAACGCATGGATCTTAGGATTTTTAATATCACGCAGAGCCCCCGCGGCAAGAACCTCGACTTCCTCGGGCTTCCAGGACTCGAATCTCGTCAGGACTGCCATGGCAGCTGCCCTGTAGGCAGACTCGAGGTTGAGTAGCATCCACGTTCCGATGTTTTTCTGCGGGAGCTGGAAGTTAGCCATCTATATACGATATAAGACTGTGTCACATACATAATATTGATCCTTCGGCCAAGGTCCCCCCGGCACCCGGTACTTCTGGACATGGATATCCACAAACCCTGCTTCACGGAACCATTCCTCAAGGTGCGGACCCGGTCTCGTAGGATACCCTGCTTTCTCAAAGGCAGGAATACAGGCTTCATAATACTTTTCCAGTGCCGTGCCTTTCATAGATCCATCCTCAGACCGTGCCAGCGCATCCCAGTCCTGGAATTCCACCCAGCCTCCTGGCTTGGTGTGCTTGTAGCATTGCTTCAGCAACTTTTTGAAATCCTTGATGGAGTAGCATAGGTAACGGGCATGGATGAAGTCGTATGGAGTGCCGTCATCAACCCATTCTGCCTCGATGTCGTCGACGAGGAATCTCAGATTCGGAGGAACCCTATTGACCAGGTATACCTTATTAGTAGGTGTTTGACAGTGGAGGGTATGCTTACTATATACTAACATGGTTGGTTGAATCGGACTCAGATCATTCCCGATGACCTCAGCAGAAGGATACTCATCGGCTGCAGTCATTCACTCCTCATAAGTCTCATAAGCCTCCAGCTCATTAAATGGGTTGCTTTACCAAACTGAATCGCCCATATCCCGGTCCCAGTAGCAAGATCCAGGACCCGCTGGGGCGATTTCCCAATGGGTGCCAAAAACAGTTTCCTCCCCATGATTGTTAGCGTCATCTCATGGCACAGATCTAGGCGTTCAGCCTCTTCCTCATCATTGGGGAGAAGGTATCCTTTTGTTTTGGACCTCTCAGTGAGACTGTATCCTCTGGGATTATACAGAATGACTCTTACTGCCATCGCGGTAAGCGTGGTAGCGCCTGCCATTCTCATGGCGGTAAGCCAACGCTGAAGACGTCAAAGACGCAGTGTAGGTCGAGAGTTCTCTGCCATAAGAAGAATCATTCTCGGTAGCCTAAGGTGTCATTAGTAACAATTATAGTTACAATCAGGGGAAGATGTTAGACTTTGCGAACCTGAGCATCCACCTCGATGGTAGCAGGATGGGCGTGATGATCATTTTGTGCCCCGGGCTGACTCTCTGCTGCGGATCCTGCCATTATTGAGCTTTGGTGATGCGCAAATCGAGGAAAGAAGATGGTCTTTCCAATAGAGTCAGGCAAACAGGTTTGGTGATTGGGATGTTTCCAGAGAACAACGTGCTGTTGATGCTATAAATTTACTCCGTACTGTGGAGTATGACCAAAGCAACCCCCGCCTGGACCTGCAACCAGAGACAAATCATCCCTGTTGACAAGCTGTTCAATGACAACAGCAGCCGTGTGACAATATCATTGCGACTGCATTAGTTTCAGGACAGTGACAGGGATGTTGATGCACCCAGCCAGAAAGAGAAAACAAGCTTAAAACAACGGCTGCCGTCAATGTACATACTCCGTACTCCGGAGTACGCGGTGAGCAGACCATTCCTGACCAGGCTTAAAACACGCCTGATTAATGTAGGTACTTGCGGAAGCAACAGCAATGATTAATTGAGTTAGGATTAGCATTACGGGAGTATTGTGGAAGGTCTGGAAGGTGCCTCTTTCTTGTGGTTCTCTTAAAGGGAAAGTATCCCTTTCTGGACTTGGTCCTGCCGCAAAAAAAAAGAAAGAAAGAAAGAAAGAAAGAAAGAAAGGTAACGGCCACGTTCTCAGCGGTCGAACATGTCCCAAGCTTAACGGCCAGTGGAAAACGGCAAGTTCGATTCGATTTCCTGAAATGTTGCCGTATATAGACAGAATGCAACCACATCAACGCATCCCCATTCTGAGTCTAACCTACCGAGTACGTAAGTAACATTAATAGCAAACGTTTAACAAACGAAAGTGGTATCATTATCTATCTAGGTATCTCGATCCAGACAGAAGTGACAAAAAAGGAAACGAAAAACGAAAATAAAAATAAAAATAACCCTATCTATCACGAGCAAGCAAGCAAGCAAGGGGTATATTCATTCAGTTCCAGTTCTCTGCCCACCGTCACTGTCACTGCGAGATGTGAATGGAAAAGTGTAAGAACAGAAAGCAAGCAAAATGATGTAAAGGTATATAACAGTGGCTCTGCCTGCAGTACATAGATACATACATGCATACATACACCGATTCATATGAATATGTGCAACCAGTCGAGTGGTAAGACCGAGACTGCCCGCGTGTCCTGTCTACGACACAATCTGGACTTTGCCCGGCTCTTCAGTCACTTCCTTACCACCATCCATCTCCTGCTGCATACCCAGGATCCGCCATGCCCGACCCATCATCCCGTAACCGCCCAGACTCACGGATGGAGTCTTGGCGTGGGTGTTGCGGCGATGAGAGGCCGATGTAGATGATTGCTGCGCCTGTCTCCGCTCCTCCTGCTCGCGGAGGGCCCGTTGTCGCTTGGCGGCCATCATGCGCTCGTCTTCCCTTTCGCGGCTTGCGACGTCGTCGCGCCATTCCGCCCAGCGCTCGAAGCGCTCCCGCTGCTGAAGCACCTGGTATTTGAACGTCGACTTGGTAGGCCGCCACACGAGACGGTTGGTGCCGTCCTGCGGAAGCGTCGACTGAAGATCCGCAACCGGCGTCTCCTTGGTCAATTTCAGCAGATGCGCAAACACGTCTCTGCTTTCGGCCGCTCGGTTGTATCGCGCTTCCTCTAGCGCGCTTGGCTTGCCTTGAGTGAGCGGTGCGTCCAGCCACGAGTACATGTTGACGGATCTCTGCACAGAGTATGGATCGAGCATGTTGGCGCGCCGGTTCTCTTCGCGCAGGAACCGTACAGCTGCCTGGAGACTGCTGACTTCGGCGCGGAGCGCCTCGTTCTCGCGCATAGCGGCCAAGGTTGCCTCGCTGTCCACAACGACGCCTCCATTGGCAGCGCTTGCTGTGCCAGATGCTCTCTTGGCTCGCTCGAAACGCGACTTGTAATCGTCCCGCTCGGCCTCCATGGCCCGCAGATCCTTCGTCAACTTCTCCACGGATTCCTGGAGCTGCGTCTCTTTCTCCTGCATCTGCTGGAATTTACTCTCAAATTCCTTGGCCAGAGCAGCTTTCTTGTTGGCATCACGCATCCGCGCTTCCAACAGTTCGACTTTCATCGACTGTTCCTCCAGGGTCTTGTCTTTAACCCCGAGAGCGGTCGACGCTTCACTCAGCTCATTCTTCAACCGACGGATCTCCTCATCAGCATCCGGAGATATCGTCTTGTTGGATTTGAGCTCCTCCGCGCGGAGAATCCAGGGGAAGCGACCTCTCTCAAACTCGGCAGTATGAGATAGATCAGAGGAATGCGTGCTGAGCTCCTCCAGCTGACCGGTCAGAGAACGCAGTTTTCCACTCAGTATGGAAAGCGCATCGTTGCCCTCACCGTCCGTAGCGGGAGCTTGAACCAGGGATAACGCCGTTTGCGACATGTTTTGTAAGATTTCAGGATAAGTAAACGGCTCCGTACGGCCTTCTTCGCTCAGCAGAAGGACGATATTTTCGCCGAGTTGACGCGCCAACTCAGAGAGAGCCTTGGCTGCCTCTTCGGTAGTTTCAAACGGTCCAGCCGCATCACCAGACAACGAGAGAGCTCTGGATTTCAATTCGTCAAGAGATCGAATCACTTTGGTGATCACCACCTTCAGACCCCGAGCCTGGTTAACCAGTGCGTCCGTCTTGTTGAAAAGAAACAAACCCTCCTCATCATCCTCAGCCGGTGCGGGGAGCTTTGCTTGCAGGTAAGACTTGAGTCGGGATAGGGCTGAGGCTGTGTGTTCCAGATAAGCCTGGATCAACACCGCGCGCATGTAGATCTCGTCGGCATATGTCGCCAGCTCGACCGGAATGAGCGTCTCTGCGAGATGTGTCATGAGAGCAATGGATCTCTGCAGTTCAACGGCGCATTTCTTCTCGTTGATTTCATTTTTCTTCAAAGCATCGATCCACGAATTCAGCGTGCGCTCCACCGGTTCGAGCTCATACAAAGCGCGTTCAAAGGTAGCAAATTGTTCGGGGGTGCACGAGGTCACAAACTGGACGAACCGATCGCAGACACATGAAATCCACAGCAGTTTCTCGAGAACATCGTACGATGCAAAAGCATTTTCCTGGACGGTTTGGAAACTGCTTTGATCCGCCAGTCGTTCCCGGATCGTATTGTTCATCAGAGTCGCCTTGAAACCGACGCGTTTGACTCGAAGAAGGGCAAGAATGGAGTTCTTCTCGCCGTCGAAATACTCTGGGAGGTAGAGCTGCACGATGGACAGATGCTGAGCCGACTCCTCCGCCTCCATACGGCTCAACTCCATGTCAATCGTTTTCGCCTGTGACTTCTCAACGGACGCCTGGAGTTTCAAGTTGAGGTCCATCATTGCTCTTGATCGCATCGATAGCTCGTTGGCTTCGGTTTCCGTGATCTGTTGAGACGCTCGCATATCCTCCAAGTCACTTTGCAGATTGGCGACCAGTTCGCGGAAACGAGCCAGCGTGTATTCCAGATCCTCGATGATCTCATCCTGCTGAGCGACCTTACGGGACTGCTCGTTGTAGAGGGCCTCTCTATAGTCGAGTTCTTCCTGCAACTGCTTCTCTACCTCGATATGGTTCAGCTCCAATTCATCGTTGATTTCCTTCAAGCTCTCCAGGTCCTCGATGGCGGCTTTAAGTTCGTTGATTTCTTCCTGATATCGCATGTTCTTGTCTGCGAGCTCTTCAATCATTTCTTCAGCGCCCAGAGCGGTCTCAAGCTGTTGTTTGAGGTCCTCGACATTGGATTCAGCAGCCAATAGCTTCTCCTTAGTGGCTTCGTATTGGGCCTTTACGGTCGAGTACTCCTCCAAATCATCCTGCAGTTCCTTGATCTGATCTCGGAGCTCCGCTTCCGTTTGTTGGGTCATATCACGCAGGCGAATCAAGGCCTCTCGAAGCCGCTCGTTGGTCTTCTCCATCTGCAGCCATCCCTGACTTGACTTCTCTTCCGGGCCCATCACTTGACTCAGCTCTTCATTTTCTTCGCGGAGGACCTCTACCTCCAACTCGAGCTCCTCGAGTCTCAGTTTCAAGGTCTGCAACTCCACTTTATAGGCCTCTGCCGTTTCTTCGGCCATCTCCCGGTCGAGAGTTGCTATTTCAAGTATAGATTCATGCTCTGCCTGCTGCTTTTCTGCCTCCTCGAGCTTTGTTTCTGCCTCCCGTAATTTCTTGCGTAACTCAGTCAGCTCGGCCTGTTGTGGCTGATATTTCGCCTGCAGTTTCTGAATGACTCCCTCGAACTTGTCCCTCTCAGCCTGGAGCGTCTCAAGGGTCTTCAGCTTCTCCCGGTCCTCGGCTCTCTTCTTTTCCATCACCTTCAATTTGGTTTTTAGGTCCTCCAACTCCCTAGCAAGCGCTGCGCTTTGCTGCGAACTCCGTTGCGACGACGTTGAGGAGAGGCCTGGGCGAGACGAAGCTGCTTTGGGCTGCTTGGTCGTGACCTCAGAGGGCGCCGCGGCATCTCCCTCGGCCTCCCCTTCAGCGTCCCGCGGAGATCCAATTTCAGGACTCGCATCAGACGGAGCGCTTGCACGACTCTCTGTTTCTTCTGATGGCCCTTTCGCAGCAGTCTGCCGCAGGGAAAGACGCTTCGCCGGTCCCGCGCCTGTGGAGCCCGTGCCAGGAACGCCCGGCTTGGCCAGCTTACTTTGAGACCCTACCAACGACTGTCGTGACATTCTCGATGCTGCTGCACTCGGTTGAGGCGGTCCCATTGAGACTCTACTGCCGACGCTGGGTCTGGGTTTGGCCGCAGTAGCTGGGGGTTTGGCGCCGATAGAGGGTGGCCGAGAAGACGCCAATTGCTTCGTGGGGGACTTGGTCGGGGACTATATAACACATCATCGTCAGCAGAGACACCAGTTTCCCTTGAAGGAACCACCATGGTCATACTCTCACGTTCCGCGTTGCGGGAGCGACTTTTGCAGCGGGCGAGGCGCTGGCCGCGCTCACGCTCGGGCGCTTGGGTGCTGTTCCACTTGTTCTCTTTAACGCGCTGGACCCTGACACAGAGCCGCTCTGGGACCTGCCTGCAGGAGCGCCATTGCTGCCTGCTTTGGACAACTGTTTACTGTCGCGCTTTTGTGGTTCTCGGGCCCCGATGACTGCCGCGACAGCGGTTGGCCTGATAAACATCCCGAAGCCGGGTTCGCAATCGAAATACCGCTCCCCCTGCACAGACCCGTCATTCTTTCCAGTGGGTTCATCGAGTTCGACTCCAATCCAATCTCCTGGCGCGAAATGAGTCGATCCGACGAAGCGGACCGTGGCTTGACGGCCGTCCAGCAAGCTGACTACCTGGCCGGGAGAGAGGTCAGCCATGGTGAAGGAGAGGAAGTATCAGCTCATGCGATTAATGCCGATCAAAAGCCAGTCAGCGACTGCGAAGACCCGAGGGAAGCTGACTGGGTGAGCTGGGCGGCTCGTAGACGGGTTGCTGGCAGATTGTATGGAGAGTTCCTGTTCAGGAGTGCCAAGGCGGACAACGCGATGCCGCGCGAGTCCCGCTTGGCGCTGTGGCAGCCTGAGGCACTAACTCTCGATGAGGCAGCAATCGGTATCACATCGACGACTTCGAGGATAAGTACAGTGATATAGCTGTATAATGCAGTGAGCATCCATTCTGGCCTTCTCGTTGTGTAATATTTTTGAAGTCAATTCTCAAAAGTGGTAGTGGACGTCAAGGGCAGGCAAAATTAGTTCAACGATGGATATATATATATATCTCAACAACTCATCCTGCTGTTATTCACTAAATAATTTGCATCCTTCATTTATACTCAGTTATGGCCCCATCTGTGGCGATTCGAATGCGTCTATAATAATGACGAACCCGACGAAGAATGTCGTCAATAACGAGATCGATACGGATTTCGTATGTATGTACATGGAATATCCTATGCCCAGGCCCTCGAATGTAAGCTTCTATCTATGTACAGTACATACAAGGACATCATTAGCCGGTCTATGTCATGCACAATACAATAACAGTAGGAAATCTTTCTGTTCTTCCTCCATCAGCATCGAGACAAGCATCTCTATGTCGTGCTTTTGAAAAACTGCGGAAACAGGTCTCGAAGCTCCTCAAGATGGCGAATCGTGTATTTGCATGGCGGAATCTTGGGTTTTTTTAACTGAGGCTCGACCAGGTGGACCGTCGTCCATCCCCGGGCCTGTGCATGCCTGCAATTCAAAGCAGAGTCATCTATAAAAGTTGCCATCAGTTCTGCTCCTTTTAGCCAAGATTCCAGAGGCAAGATGCACCAACCGACGAAATAGCAACTTTCAATGCTACGTGCTCCTGCTTCCTTCTCTGCTTTCTCCCACATCTCCGTGTTGGGCTTACAGACCAGCTGGGGCTGTGAATAATCGCAATAGGTTATTCCTTCGAAGAGGTCGTCTACCCCCAAGAGCCTCACCACACGCTTCGCGTGGGTGACGTAGGCGTTGGTAAGGAGCCATAGCTTTACCTTGGTGCGGTCGATATCCTCAAGCAGTTTCCGCAATTTCGGATCGGGCTTCAGGATGTCATCCAACGGCAAGGCGTCATCGACCTCGCGGTTGAACTGCAGCGGGTCGATCTTATGGTGACGGGTGAGACCTTGAATGGCGAGACCATATTCCCGATAGTACTTGCGGTGGAGCATGACTGCGTCGTCAAGTCCCAACGATAGATGCTTGACGAAAAACTGGTCTGCAGGACAATAGCATGTTAAAGACGACACAAGCCAAAAATCACCCCCGTCACGGCGAAGTTAATATGGAATACCAATTAGGTCTTGCATGAGATCATGGATCTTCGTATCTAGAGGATTGCTTTTAGTTTTTGCCAGCATCTGTTAATCGTGAATTCGACCGCAGACCTCTGGAATATAGCTGGTCGTCCATGGCATTAGCATTGCGGTGACTGCTGGAGGACTTCTCTGCGGATGCTGGCTTCGGAATATACATACGCAGTTATCAATATCGAAAAAGAAAACCGGCCTTGAGTCAATAGGAGGGTCTTGGGTCGCCATTGCAGTCGACAATTTCAGGGAATGCAATATGAGAGAAGCAGTTACAACGAAAGAATTCTATGACAAGCACAGCAAAGAAAATCTATAAAAGCAGAAAGCAAGCAATCTCAACAACCTGGAAGGAATGACCGGACGAAATGCGGGTTGGAGTCATCTGGATGTCTCCAAGTGGGGGAAGTGAGGCCTCAGGCAGGCGCGGCAGACTGGCCACTAGGGCACTCGCTCCCGACCAACCACCTCACCAACAACGTTTTGATCATTTGCCGTCAACGGACGTCGCTCCGTCAATCCTGCAATTGACTGAGGACTTCCACACAGTCCATTCCCTGTCAGCAGCCAGTGCAGCTGCTGGCATCGCTAATCCGTCTCTGCTGCAGGGCATGATTGCCAGCTGAGAATCCTCTCACCACTGAGGTGTAACTGCTGCCAGATTTGCATCCATGAGCACCGAAGTCATGGCTGCTAGTGACACTCCTCCTGTCCCCGTCACGGGCGCGCCAGGTGCGCTGTCACCGGTTGACGAGGTCAAGGAATATGAGAAGATCTTGAGGATCAGTGACGAGATATTTGCAGGAACTCACCCCAGGTTGAAGGTTCCCCCACAGTTTGTTCGCAAGGGCCCTCCCCGGACGCTTCAAACTCCTACTACTACCACGACAGCTTCAGCTGAGCCTGCTGGGACGCCTCAGGCAAAGTCCGTATCGTCAGCTCCGCAGGCGACGTCTGCGGCTGCGACTAGTTCCTCCACCGCCCCTTCTGCCGGTGCGTCGACGCGTGTAGCTCCGAAACCCACGTCAGAGATCGATCCTATCTTCCTGACCAAATCGGATGACCTGATCAGAGCGGAAATCCAGCTGCAGCGGCAGAGGGTGGAGAGGGTGTTACGGGAACAACTGGAACAGAGAAAGCTCGAGACCAGGCAGAAGGCGTCCGCACAGGAGGCAAGGCCCGACTTCGACGTGACGGACGTGTTGAATAAGGCCCTGGAGATTGTTAAGCCTCTTCCACCTAGTGATGTTCACGGCGCTAATGGCACAACCGCCCCCAGCGACCCCTTCGACGAGAATTCCTTCTACTCTAGTAGAGCTCCCGACTCGCCCCAGCATGAACCAGGCTCGTCGGAGTCGGAGCGACAGGGCCCCCCCTCAGGATCCCGGAGGGAGCCCTGCCGGCTGATGTCCCTGTAGGCCGTCGTTC